CTGTGTTAAACCACGAAGGTCAGCTGGTATTTCTGGGAAATGTAATCCTTTAGAAAGGCATATTGAAGGTATTTTTCCGCCTTGAGCAATTTTATAGCATGTATTGCAAAATTTATATGTATTATTTTCTGATGGAAATGTTGAAGCAAGGAAGAAAACTTCAGATATTTCCGCAATAATGTGATCCTACTGATATTTTTAATTTGGGAATTAAACCAAAGCCCTCCGCAGCAAATATAAATTTATGTTGGACCCCTCCTGATTGTCTCGTAGAACTCGCTCAATTGTCTTGACCTATGTCTTATGGAATCGGTTTGTAACATTTCCCTGCGGGATTCTGGGGAAAGATTTTGTCTAATATTAGCACTTCTCTCGGACTGGCGGTTATTTTCAAGTTCACGGTTGTAAGGATTCATCCTATGAATTAAGACACGACCATGTCTAATCCTATTCTGCTCATGAAAGTCCTGATTAGCAACTCGTCGCGCTTCGCGGCGTTGTTCAGTATTACGGACTTGTTCAATTGTACGATAAGTTATATCGCGTCTTCGAACATTACGACGTTGTGAGTCCACTTCACGTTCGGTTTGTCTGTAGATCTCATTACGTCTACGTTGGGAACGACGAAAAGTATCCCGCTCAAGTTGTCTGAAGGTTTCATCCTGCCGACGAACTTGACGGTTGAGAACATCACTCTCTCGCTCTATTTCTCTATACACTTCATCTTGCCTACGAGCCTGTTGGCTTAACCTTTAACTTCTGAGGTGACATATTTTATAACGTGGTTATAACTGTGTTCTATCTGTCGAGCTGTTTACTACTAAACACCAAACTAAAAATCCATACATATATATACAATCCTTTCAAAATTTTACCTAACAATAGGATCAAAACAAAATTAGTATTTGACGATACAGGTGGTCAATTACACGGCAAAATACAACATATAATGTGTTCAGGTAATAATGTTTGAACAGATACTTAGCAGGTAGACAGTGCCTAATAGTAATTATCAGGTATTAGGCTTAAACAAGGATTATCTAAAAACTACCTACATTTAATTATTAATACTTCTACCTGGAAATAATAGATTTACTGACAATAACAATGCATTTAATTGTCGTATACCTGCATAAAAGTGTTCTATGAAAATATTGTCGAACGAAACAAATAAATGCTATAGGTAACCTTTTCAAATTTCGACCGACTTTCGCCGAATATGGTCGAAATGTTCAATTTACCTAAACAAAGGGTATATGCTGTAGAACCTGTTTTTAACCTAATCAGCTATTATTTTGACAAATAACAAAAACATCGAATATCTAGACCTATTTAATGTTCTGCCACTGGAGCTAAAAAATATTGAATTTAAAACAATTTCTTTGAATATTGTGGCATTTATTGCAAAATTTATATGTATTATTTTCTGATGGAAATGTTGAAGCAAGGAAGAAAACTTCAGATATTTCCGCAATAATGTGATCCTACTGATATTTTTAATTTGGGAATTAAACCAAAGCCCTCCGCAGCAAATATAAATTTATGTTGGACCCCTCCTGATTGTCTCGTAGAACTCGCTCAATTGTCTTGACCTATGTCTTATGGAATCGGTTTGTAACATTTCCCTGCGGGATTCTGGGGAAAGATTTTGTCTAATATTAGCACTTCTCTCGGACTGGCGGTTATTTTCAAGTTCACGGTTGTAAGGATTCATCCTATGAATTAAGACACGACCATGTCTAATCCTATTCTGCTCATGAAAGTCCTGATTAGCAACTCGTCGCGCTTCGCGGCGTTGTTCAGTATTACGGACTTGTTCAATTATACGATAAGTTATATCGCGTCTTCGAACATTACGACGTTGTGAGTCCACTTCACGTTCGGTTTGTCTGTAGATCTCATTACGTCTACGTTGGGAACGACGAAAAGTATCCCGTTCAAGTTGTCTGAAGGTTTCATCCTGCCGACGAACTTGACGGTTGAGAACATCACTCTCTCGCTCTATTTCTCTATACACTTCATCTTGCCTACGAGCCTGTTGGCTTAACCTTTAACTTCTGAGGTGACATATTTTATAACGTGGTTATAACTGTGTTCTATCTGTCGAGCTGTTTACTACTAAACACCAAACTAAAAATCCATACATATATATACAATCCTTTCAAAATTTTACCTAACAATAGGATCAAAACAAAATTAGTATTTGACGATACAGGTGGTCAATTACACGGCAAAATACAACATATAATGTGTTCAGGTAATAATGTTTGAACAGATACTTAGCAGGTAGACAGTGCCTAATAGTAATTATCAGGTATTAGGCTTAAACAAGGATTATCTAAAAACTACCTACATTTAATTATTAATACTTCTACCTGGAAATAATAGATTTACTGACAATAACAATGCATTTAATTGTCGTATACCTGCATAAAAGGGTTCTATGAAAATATTGTCGAACGAAACAAATAAATGCTACAGGTAACCTTTTCAAATTTCGACCGACTTTCGCCGAATATGGTCGAAATGTTCAATTTACCTAAACAAAGGGTATATGCTGTAGAACCTGTTTTTAACCTAATCAGCTATTATTTTGACAAATGACAAAAACATCGAATATCTAGACCTATTTAATGTTCTGCCACTGGAGGTAAAAAATATTGAATTTAAAACAATTTCTTTGAATATTGTGGCAAAATTTGAAAAGTAAAATAGCAAATTTATGTGGTGACAATTATATGAGGCTATAGGGCGTACAAACAAAGTGATGTCTCACAAATGAAAACCTTTAAAATTTTAGTATCGAACAGGTGTCTAAGAAAAAGTGGCTTAAATAGTCAAAATACTGAATATAGGTATGACTATATAGTGCAACATGGACCTATATAGACAATGTTCGGTCACAAAAGGTAGAACCCATTGCGAAGTCAAAGTAATGAAGTTTAAAAAACCGTTAGAAAATGTGGCTTATAATGGCATAATATCCAGTATTAGGAGGTACCGTTATATGGGGGCTATATGAAAACATGGCCGAACTTAACCTACATACTAGCACTTGTGCAAAATTACATCATCTTTCGAAAGATAGCGTGAGTACAACACACATACAGACGGGCATCGCTAAACCGACTAAGAATTGTATGCAGATCCATAATTTATATTCTTGTGATACTTTTACGCTGATTTATAATATATACTTTGTAAAGTCTACCTTGAGTATTTCGAGAAGCTACAAACGGAATGACAAATTTAATTTACACTCCATAGTATAGTGGGGGTATTAAAATTCCGAATATAGGGAGGTATCGTTGTATGGGAGCTATACGAAAACGCGGATCTGCATAGGAAATTGTCTATCATAGACTGTAATACCTATTTCGAACTTCAAATACGAAATTTAAAACAGTTCCGTAGACTAATATGGCTAAAATTATCAAAATACCGAATATCGGGAGGTACTGTTATATGGGTGCTACACAAAGAGGTGGCCCTGCGTAAGTAATTTTTTGTCAAAGGCTTTAATATCTATTACAAATTTCAAATACGAAATTTGAAACAATTCCGGTGAATAATGTCGCTAAAATCGTCAAAATACCGAATATCGGGAGGTACCGTTATATGGGTGCTATACGAAGACGTGGACCTAAATGTGCAATTTTGTGTCATATACTGTAGAACCTATTACGAACTTCAAATACGAAATTTGAAACAATTCCGGAGAATAATGTAGCTAAAATCATAAAAATACCGAATATCGGGGGGTACCGTTATATGGGTGCTATACGAAGACGTGGACCTGAATGTGCAATTTTGTGTCACATGCTGTAGAACCTATTGCGAACTTCAAATGCGAAATTTGAAACAATCTCGCTTAATAATGTAGCTAAAATCATCAAAATACCGAATATTGGGAGGTACCGTTATATGGGTGCTATACGAAAACGTGGACCGACATGATGACCCATTTACGAACTTAACCAGCCTACTGACAAAATACACATGTGTGCAAAATTTTAACCTTCTATCTCATATCGTTCGAAAGATAGCGTGATTACAACAGACAGACAGACAGACAGACAGAATGACATCGCTAAATCGACTTAGAATTTTACGCTGATCAAGAATATATATACTTTGTTGGGTCTGACATGAGTATTTCGAGGAGTTACAAACGGAATGACAAAGTTAATATACCCTCCATAGTATGGTGGAGGGTATAAAAATGGAAGTTGTAAGTATACAATGCTTCAAATAGAAATTCAATTGTTTACATTATTAGCATCCTATTACAGAGGACGACACGGTGATGAATTTACGAAAAATGTTCTGCTCCAAAAATAAAGAATGTTCTTTCATCACCCAAAATAAACTCGCCTTTGTCAGAATTATCTGAAGTAAAGTCAACAGGAATATGGAGGTTTTTCCTATCACATATTTTTAACCGAACCGAAACATAGAACATTTTTTAACACACACGTCAAAAAATGTCAACACGCGCTGCTGGTAATTTACATACTTTTGTTGGGTAGGTACAAAAAATTTTTAAGAAAATCTGACACTAATTTCTCATTTTTAAAAATTATTATTTTTCTTCTTCAAAATTATTACCTATTGTGGGGAAGTTACCCGAAGATGTGGGTTAATATATCCCACATTCAATCTATCAGAAATATTTGAATCTGCATAGCATGAATAAAATTTATGTTTAATGAAATTTCCAGCCAATTTTCGGAGAGGTACCAGAACTACACTGCTATAGAGAGTTCTCGCGCGCACCAACTAGACAGACATTGGCGCATGTGTAGTAATACGCCGAATTTAGTTAGCAAAGTTTCCATTGGTTACAGATTTTTAGTTAGTACCTAGAAGCACTTTAAAATTCATATGACCTTTTTTAACCGTATCAGCCATCATTCAATAAAAATTATTAAATGAACTGCTGAAGCAATGGCGTTTAATATATGCACTGACATATTTGATTCAATTTTTTAATTACATAGAAACGTTTCAAACGATTAAGGCGAATACAAGAGGAAGAGAGCGATGGAGAAGACGATCACGTAGATGAAGGCTTAGCTAGGGAAGCTATCGCAGAGCAACTCTTTGATGACGACGAGGTGTGTATAGAAAAATATAAATTAACTAAACATATTACAAAATTGTTTCTTTAGAATGCGGAAGGACAATCTGAAAAGAGCAATAGAGAACCTGAACATTTCGAAGAAGACGAGGAAGAAACTGACTCTGATGCTGATGACTTTATTGTGGATGACGAAGGGCGCCCTATTGCTGAAAAGAAGAAAAAAAGAAAACCAATATTTACAGATGCGTAAGTAGTCGATACATGATAAATTTCTATTTGCTTGGACAATTAAATCGTAAAAAAATTAACAAAAAAAATGTGGGACAAAAATTTGGTTTCAAATCTATTCGCGTTCACAAAAATGGATGCTGTGCGCTAGAGTTACAATTGCTCTTATTCTATTATAAGAGCTCTAGGAAAGTTCTTAAAAAAAAATATCCATATAATTAAATATTTGAAGATTATTTCAAACAAATGGTGCACCTAAAATGGTCCATCCGCTTAGTATTATTCAGCATTCTCTCTTCAACATTTCGGACGGTAACTCACGAATAATTGTTTCACTGTTGTCTTCCAATTTGTCAATTGAAGCAGGATCGTCATTATATCCATGAGCTTCCATACAAAAAGTAGTCTGAAGGATAGTTGATGGTCATCACTAATACTGGTCGATACAGATGCGATATTTTCTTCAGCCTTTACGTAAGCGTGTTATTGATTTAATGTTCTAAAATGTAAATTTGTTGCAAAATTTAAATTAAAAAAAATACGAATTTGAAATTATTATTATTTTTTAAATTATTATTATTATTATTTATATACCCTCCAGTTTTAAAAGTCTAAGTCGATTTAACGATGTCCGTCCGTCCGACTGTTTAAATAACGTAGAGCTTCAAAATATGGCACAACAATTTGTATTGTGTTTAGGTTGGAAAATGTTTAGGAAAATGAGATATATCGGTCCACGTTTTGGTATAACCGCCATATAGCGGTACCTCCCGATATTCGTTGTTTTGACAATTTTCGCTACATTTTTTTCATGGATTTGTCTATAAAATGCTATGTTTCGGCGTAACATTGTACATATAAGTCCACGTTTTCGTATAGCTCTTATAAAACGGTACCTCCCGATGTTCGGTATTTTGATTGTTTTCGCCACATTTTTTATGGATTTGTTCCAAAATTGGCATTTGTACCTCCCGAAATTTGGTATTTTGATAATTGTAGCCATATTATCCCACGGATTAGTTTTTGGAGTTCATAATCGGTTCTAGCTCCGGTTGCAGAACATTGAATATTAGGTCCACGTTTTCCTATAGCGCACAAATAACGATACCCACCGATGTTCGATATTTTTATAATCCTAGTCACATTTGGCATTTAAGAAGATATATCTGCATTACCCAACCGTTCTTACTGGTATTTTTAGTTTAAAGCGGAACACTTTTAAATTCAGATACTTTTATATTAAAATGTTTTGTTTTTACCCAATAGGGGAGGGTTAAATGACGAACTTTTTTACTTACTTTTAGTCTCGGACAAACTTAATGCTTTTTTACTTTTTTTCAAAAATGCTTTTTGGTACATTAAGGTACATTAGGCTTTGTAAGGAAACTCAAATGATATAAGTTAATAAAAAAATTAAAAAAAGTATAAAACAAATTTATTATTATTTATTTTTAATCACCGTGAGAAGTGGTAGTTTGTCGAACTTTTTTATTTCATTTATAAATAATAAGATTTTTTCGAGCTTTAGACCATTGGCGATTTTTTTTATTGATTACAATAAAGTGTTCCCAATATTTCGCAATTATCAAATGCATCTTCAGCAAACATAAACAAACTACAAAAACATAAAAAAACTGGAATACAACAACAAAGAACTGCAAGTACTAGATGAACGTCTTAATAGCCAAATTAGCAATCCCACGTCAGCGGGTTGTACGATACCGGATTGACCCGAAACAACAAGATACCAGTTCTGGCCAGCGGCTGCAAACCCAGTATGTATATGTATAACCATAGTGTCACCCGGTCTGATAAATGCCGTGACTTGGTAACCTGTAATTTCTCTTGGCTCAGACCATCTCTCGATAATCGTCTCCATAAGCATGTCGCCCGATTTCATAACTTCTGAACGCCGCACTTTCCTTAACCATGATCTCCGTCGTACCAACGATCCTAGAATCAGTGATTTGACAGTGGAAGTCAACCGGTTGGTACAGGAGCATAAGAGAAAAAAAGTGGCTAGACCATCTGAAGTGTTGCAACATTGGAACCGATATGAGTAAGCTGTGGGTAAGGGTTAAGTCGCTTTCGAACCCTGGAAAAAGGATAATATGACCTCAGTCACTTTTAACGACGTAACGGTGACTGATCCGAAGAGGTGCGCGGAGTATTTCAACCGACAATTTGTCGTGCACCCCGAGAGCGATAGGGCGAAGCGAAGAGTACTACGTCGTATCAAATCTCTTCCCGCCGAGGAGGAACCACCACAGTGTACGATGGGTGATGTTGCAAATGTCATCCGTAACGCTAAGTCATCCAAAGCGTTGGGCCCGGACGGAATCTCAATGGTAATGTTGAAGCAGCAGGATACGCCGGGAGTCGAGTACTTTACGAAAGCGCGGAGTATTTCAACCGACAATTTGTCGTGCACCCCGAGAGCGATAGGGCGAAGCGAAGAGTACTACGTCGTATCAAATCTCTTCCCGCCGAGGAGGAACCACCACAGTGTACGATGGGTGATGTTGCAAATGTCATCCGTAACGCTAAGTCATCCAAAGCGTTGGGCCCGGACGGAATCTCAATGGTAATGTTGAAGCAGCAGGATACGCCGGGAGTCGAGTACTTTACGAAAGTTCTCAATTTGTTGCTAGCCACATTGTGCCCGAAACCTGGAAAATGGAATGGCGCTACTGAAGCCAGGCAAGGATGTCAATAAAGGCGAATCGTACAGGCCGATTTCGCTTTTGTCGCCAGTAGCTAAGAGTCTTGAATCTTTACTCCTCCCCAGCATTAGAGGAAGCTATACAGTTGCCAACCACCAGCACGGATTTCGTCCACAACATAGTACCACGACAGCATTACACGCCATTTTCACACATTATTAGAGGACTGAATCAGAACAGGCCGTGTGACAGAACAGAGTTGGTAGCCGTTGACCTAACAAAGGCATTTGATGCGGTCAATCATGCCACACTGTTTGAGGACGCGCAGAGAACTACCCTCCGGCCAAGTTTGAAACGTTGGATAATCAACTATATGTGTGGACGCCAGTCGTACGTGGAATTCCGGAACAAGAAGTCAAAAGCCCGTAGAGTGAAACAGGGAGTTCCCCAAGGTGGGGTGATATCTCCGGAACTGTTTAACTTCTACCTTTCCGGAATTCCTCGCCCTCCAGACAGCATTGAGATCGTAACGTATGCGGATGATTGTACGATCATGGCGTCGGGCCCAGTGGTCGATGACATATGTAAAAGGCTGAACCCCTATCTCGCGGAACTTGCCGCATACTTCCACGCGAGGAATATGAAAATATCCGCCACGAAATCAACGGCCACACTCTTTACCACAGAATACACCTGAATGTGCAGGTCGAGGGGAATCAAATACCCACCACGAACTATCCCAAGATTCTAGGGGTCACGTTCGACAGCATGTTCAAGTCATCCGCGCAAGCCACAGCTATCTGCGACAAGATGAAAAGTAGGAACAAGGTCCTACACTAGCCGGCAGCACTTGGGGTGCGGCCAAAGAAACCTTGTTGACCTCTTATAACGCGATAGGTCGGTCTGTGGTCAGCTATGCGGCTCCAGTGTGGTCTGCGAATACTAGTGCTACGCAGTGGAAGCATGTCCAGACCTGCCAGAACGCTGCTCTGAGAACTGCGACAGGGTGCCTTCTCATGACACCAGTGGACCATCTACATGAGGAGGCGAAAGTCCTTCCCTTACGTCAGCATAATCATATGCTTTCGTTGCTGTACCCGCTTATGGGGGAAAGTTCAATAGAAGATTCATTGACGACTTTCAAAAATGTCAATTAAAACATAAAATTTACCATTGGTATCAAAAACCGACGGAATCTAGTCGCATATTAAATTTCGAAAACGCGAAATATTGGGAACACTTTATTGTAATCAATAAAAAATAAACTTGCAATGACGCCTAAAGCTCGAAAAAATCTTATATATATTTTTTTGATTCTTTGACTTTTTTGGTTAATTATACAAGAGTATGTAATGTATTCCGCAAAAAATGTTGCTATCACGAAATATACATAGTTCACTATGATAAGATTATTTTAAATTTAAAAAGTGCGCAATTCCCGAATTTTTCTATATCAATTGATGCGCATGGGATTTTTGGATACTGGTGCATCGACTACACCTTACAAATATCAACGATAAAGGTCATAACCAAAATGAAGATGCACTATGAATCCTTTCATAATTAAAAAACTCGGTTTGTTTTATTAATGTTGACAATTTAAGGAATATTATATATTTTGCCGAACATACAGAGGCATAAATGAAAATGAATACTACTTTTAATTCTGGTAAACAAGATGTTATATTAAACATCAATAAAAATGGAAATTTACCTATAAATATATACTTTGTAGGGTATATTATAAATATTTCGAGGAATTACCAACGGAATGACAAAGTTAACATACCCTCCATAGAATGGTGGAGGGCATAAAAACAGATTGGAAAAATAAATAATACATTTTAATTGACGAGTAAGAATTTATGTGTCGTCTTAAGTCCCTATAATCTTCTGGCTAACTGAAAAATTACTGCTGGTTCTGTGTTAGAGAATGAAAATAGATTGTGTATTATTCGTTCTCCCATAAGCCTGTTTTTCACATTGATGAGAGTTGGAAAGTGGCAGAGTAAATGTTCGACCGTTTCAGATTCCTACACATCCCGGTGCATGTTTTAGATCAGGTTTCGCCATTAGGATGAGCGAAAGATTCTTAGACATTATACCTCCTCTCATCTAACCAGCTTTGTTGAAACCTCCGGGAGAAATGTTTATTTATCGCACGAAAAAATTGACAAAAAGGTGGTCTAATAGAATTCTCAACTTCAATGTCTATAGATTCGGATCTACATTCTGCTATTTGGAAGACCTAGATTTTGCCAAAGTTTTCCTACATTCCAAAACTGCCATAGTAAACGAATTTAGCGCATTCTGGGCCACCCGTCTATCGTCGTCTATAGTCACCGTTGATGTACCCTGGTGGCAAAAACTTAAACGACTAAAATCGCAAAGACAATAAATGCCCTGTAACTTTTACAAAAATAAACAAATTGTAATTATTTTTCCAGTTTGAAATGAGGTACTTTATTCACTTTTAAAAAACTAAAAATAAAAATACAAAAATAATATTGAATGAAAAATAATATATGGAAAACTAAAATGATCCAATTTTGGCTAGTAGTCGATAGCATCCATTATTTTTGATAACAGCTGCACCCCTACGAGGTATTGAATCTATAACACGCTCAATCCGATCCTTGGGTATGCTTTTCCAGGCACCCTGAATTCTTTGGAAAATGTTGTGTTTATTTCTTTCCGAATCTACCTTGATCTTCCTGTCTACGATACTCTAAAGGTTTTCTATGGAGTTTTGGTCAGATTATTGTGCTGGCCATGACAAAACACCGATTTTTGACTCCCGCAATCAATCTTCGACAAGTTTTGATGCATGTTTGGGATCATTGTCATGCTGGAACGCCCAAATAAGCCGAATATTTTCCTCAGCGGAAAGGAACAACGTGATGTTCAACACATCTTTGTAAACAAACCGATCCATAACTTCCTTTATTTCATGGACAGGTCCAAGTTCATAGAAAGAAAAACAGCGCCACACCATTTTAACACTTCCTCATGCTTCACTGTACCCTTGCAACACTGCGGCTTGAGTCTTTAATTTTTTTTTTTTTTTTTTTTTTTGGTCTTCTTACCGTAAAATTTTTCATGTCTGAGCCTTTAATATTAAACGTAGACTCATCCCAGAATAAAACGTTTTTCCATTGAGCTGCTTTCCTATTAATATTATCGTTTCCGAAAGCCATCCCAGCTTTCCGTTGTTTTCTATAAATGGCTTTTTTGATGGCTTGCGGACATGCAGACCAGCCGCTACTACTCGTCTACGCACTGATCTCGAGCTCTCTCATCAATTCAGTTGAACTCTTGTTTTTTTTATAAATGGTTTTTTTGATGGCTTACGGGCATGCAGGGCAGCCGCTACTACTCGTCTACGCACTGATCTCGAGCTCTCTCACCAATTCAGTTGAACTCTTGTTTTTTATTTCTTTTACAATTTGTTGATCAGAACGGGATGAAGTTTTCCCGGCCTTCATCCGTTACAGACTGTTACTACTGATCCAGTTTCATAAAACCGACTTAGTATACGAGAAATCACAGAAATATTTATTAAATATTTCTCGGAAATCATTTTCTGCGATAGCTTGTTTTCATAGACACTGATAATTTGCAGTACAGTATTTGTTTCTAGCCATTTTTAAACTTTTTTGAGTAGTACTTAAAAAAACACAAAAAACCCATGTTTTTGTAAAAAAAAAAAATTTTCAGAAATGATTTCTGACAAGCGAAATTGTTGAGGGAAGAAAAAACGATAAATATAACAGTTAAAACAACTGAAATTGCAGCGATCATAAGAATGTTCAAAAGAGTTGCTTTTGTTTTGTCCACGCCAATATCCGGTTTATTGACTTTATCTTTATATAAACATTAATTTTGGTTTTTTGTTTTAAGTTTGTAAAAAGTGAATAAAGTGCCTAATTTAAAACTAGAAAAACTTTCTCATTTTGATAATTTTTAAAAAAGTTACAGAGCATTTATTCTCCTTATAATTTCAGTTGCTTTAGTTTTGGCCACCAGTGTAGTTGCAAATAGATTTATGGCAAAGATTCCTGCCTGGTATACACTAAAGGGCTGCAAGTGTGACATATTTCTCTATTTATGCCATGGAGTGAAAACGCTCGTCATGTTGTGCCCTGTTTGATCAAACGCATAACAATACGTGACATCCAACCAAATGCTCGATGTCTCGTCATGTCGGTCAGACTCAAACCCTTCGTCATAACATGTAATGACCAGAGGGCTGCAACGAGTATCAAAAATTCAAGCATACTCCGTTTCTTACATGATTTTTGTTGATGCAGTCGTTTAGTTTGATCTGAATGAAATGACCGTTTTCGCTTCTGATCGAATCGAACGCTCAGTTTGAATCACTTCACTCACAATCAAACATGAGCGTTCGAGACGGTTTGATGTGTTCAGCAGCATGAGTTGATCGAACACATGAATGTAAATGAGCAATCACAACCGTGATTGTCTTCTTTGAATCGAGTTCGCTCAGCGTCATTGTTCATTCAACCATTTAATCAAGTTGGGACAGTTTATTTTGACTTTTTTTGATATTTGAAATGGAAGAATATTGTGATAGTGCGACCGAAATTGTTGCAAGTAGAAACTACACAGGTGTAGGTAAACGAAAAGGTCGAAGTTTGTGAAAAATCTTGACCAATATTGTAAAATTAAAAAAAAAATATTTAAACATTTTTAGTTTTCTAAATACCAATGATGTGTTTCTTTATTAAAAAAATTAATTTTGTTTTTTTCCAAATAAGTTACTGAAGTCTAGCATACCAAAAACCCAAATAAAAGGAAAAATTGTATGCTTATTAAATATAATTTGCACCAATTTCTTTAATGGGGACATCTTTTAGTTATGACATCCTTAGTAAAATTACAATCATGATTTCGCTCAAATTCGAACATTTGTGTTTTAATCAAATCAAATCACTCACTTAACTAGGATAAATAAAACCGATCAGACTCATTATAGATGATCGACCCGTTATGAACAATTCATCATAAGTTCGTAAACAAATAACTCATGTGAGCTGTTTGATTGCGATCACAAAACTTCGATCAATACATGTTTGATCACAACTTTTTCGTTAGGCTTGAGTGACTCGAATGAACATGTTGCATCTGACCGACTGATTGAGCTTGATTGTATTTCCACTGTGTGTGATCAAGCCTACTCAATCATACTCATTGCAGCCCTCTGGTAATGACCAATAAAAGGGGTTGTTGAATAGTGTGTCATACAAAAATGTTTTACCATAAAAATAACAACAATAATGAAACAATTGCAAAAAAAAAAAAAAAAAACACGAAATGAAGGCAAAGCGCAATCGCTACCAGTCTTTCCGATATGTGAAAAAATACTTTTTTTGTAATAAAGTATTTCTTGGCGAATAATAACATATTTAAGGTACTTCGAATTGGTCCACACAAAATGTTCACATTTCGTGGTTATTGACGAAACAATCCAAAATGTCAATCCTTAGGAAAAAAAATGATAAATTTTCTTAATATCTCTGCCCTCAACTACGTCATTTTAAAGAATATTTTTTAATTATTGGTTTCGTACTCACTTCCATATGTATGCCGTGTTTGTTACTTCAGAATTACAACACACAAAAACACATCCTCACCGTCGAAAGTAACACGCACTACACACACTCTCTCTCTCAACTTAAGTACACGTACACAAATGACACACAATTTCACGATGTCATGGTTCGATGTCCTGCATTTTTGGAGAACACCATGCAAATATTCGAGTCAGCCATGCTGTTTGCTATATTCTACAGATATGCCAGCTGCCAAATGTAAAATTTGTAACTATAGTGTTACGAAAACACAGCCTGATAGCCTGATGAGGGGCTCTCTCTTATATCGCTGGACCTCTCTCTCTAGATCATGCAGGTCCTTCCTGACACGCCTGGGTGGGGGAGTTCTATCCACCATATGGTGGTTAGTGTGACTCCTACGATAACACCCAAGCAGGTACTGCAACGAAAGCATATGATTATGCTGACGTAAGGGAAGAACCTTCGTCTCCTCATGTAAATGGTCCACAGGAGTCATGAGGGGCACCCTGTTGCAGTTCTCAGGGCGGCACTCTGGCAGGTCTGAATACTTTTCCACTGCGTTGCACTCTTATCCCCGACCACACTGGAGCCACATAGCTAACCACAGACCGACCTATCGCTTTATAAGAGGCTAACAAGGTTTCCTTATCCCCACCCTAAGTGCTGTCGGCTAGCGCCTTGAGGACCTTGTTCCTACTTTTCATTTTATCGCAAATAGCTGTAGCTTGCGCGGAAGACTTGAACATGCTATCGAATGTGACCCCAAGGATTTTGGGGTAGTTGGTGGTCGGAATAATGTGCCCCTCGACCTGCACATTCAGCTGTGTTCTCATCTCCGCAGTCCATGTGGTAAATAGTGTGGCCGTCGATTTAGTGGCGGATATTTTCCTATTCCTCGCATGGAAGAAGGCAGCAAGCTCCGCGAGATAGTTATTCACCCTGACACATATGTCATCAACTACAGGACCCGACGCCATGATCGTACAATCATCCGCATAAGTTACGATCTCGATGCCGTCTGGAGGGCGCGGAATTCCGGAAAGGTAGATGTTAAACAGTTTCGGAGATATCACCCCACCTTTGATAGGTCGAGAGCCACCACTACTGTTCTGTGGCACGGCCTGTTCTGGTTGAGTCCTCGACTGATATGTGTGGATATGGCGCGCAATGCTGTTGTAGTGCTATTTAGTGGACGGAAACCGTGTTGATGGTTAGCAACTGAATAGCTTCCTCTGAGACTGGGGAGGAGTAAGGCCTCGAGAGCCTTTGCTACTGGCAACAAAAGTGAAATTGGCCTGTATGATTATCCTTTGCTGGCATCCTTGCCAGGCTTCAGTAGCGGGACCACCCTGCCCATTTTCCAGGATTCGGAAACTAAGTGGGTGGCTAGCGCCAGGCCCTTCTCATCGCCATAGTCTGTGCGGTCCTGTGGTAAATATCTACCAATAAATATTTTTTTGGTCATTTCATAACTTGACATGTGTTTTATTTAAATTTCAAATCAGCAATCGGTATGTACTTTGTCCGTGTAAGGCTCCTGATGGTAGCCCAGAGTAAATGTAAAGCAGCTTCTACCGGTGATGGTTAATCCTATAACCTATTTCAGTCGTGGGAGTGGGAATCCTGGGGTCATAACTTGATAACCTGTACTACGATATTAATTTTGATTCCAGAATTGCAGATATTGGGATTTCGTTATTGTGCATGAAATTTGTTAATTCCATAGTTTTTTTCCTTATGCCATTGCTATGATGCTTTAGGATTTGGAATGATTGTGGGTAGATTGATGTTCAGGATGAGTTGGATTTGATAGCAAGTTAGCATTTTCTTAGTTTCTTTAATGGCCCTATTAATTGTGATTATGTGTAGTGGTTCACACTAACTTGGAACTTTGGTTCGGTTTTTAATTTTTTTAGACGGCTCGAACCATAGTTTTTTTAGTGTTATTTGTATATGTATACATGTCCAGTTTCGCACACAAAAAATTCATTAAATTAGCAGCTGGGGCGTAGCATTTAAGTAATTTTCAACGCATTCATAGTAAAAATATATTTTATTATAAGATTTTAACTATGTGTCAACACCTTGCGGTGTTCCATTGGCTACTGATTTCCTCACGATTACTGGGACGAATGACTCTGCTGCTAAGCATTGCATCAATCTAGCTTATTAACATATGAGTTCCACATTGTTGATGGGGCATCATTTAAAGAGACGAGAACAAGAATGAGAAAATTAAAGAAGAAATAGTATTAATGTTAGTAATGAAGTGAAGAAGAGATTAATGTGTCGTATTTAGCCATATTAATTTTCTAGCTAACTGAAGAATGAAGACATGTCATGCAGAACTTGCTTACCCATGAGACACCAAAAAGAGTTAGACTGTAGTATAGTAAGTGCTCCACCGTCTCTGTTTCCTCCTCGTCTTGAAAAAGCCTATAATATTCAGTATCGTCGCCCCCACTGGAAGTCATAGCCTTTGCATATCAGTGATCTGTGAATAAACCTACCGCAAGTTGTAGGTCAGATTTCACCATGGAAATTAGCGACATTGATCTCTTTTGTGAGGGACTGTAATGCTTCCAAATTTTATTAATGGTAGATTAATTTAGTGCTTTCATATATACATATATATGTATACTTGTCATAGAAAAATAAATAAATAAATAAATTTCCTCTGTATGGGAACAATTGCAGCTATAGTTTTAGCTCGGTAACTTTCCACTCATGTAGCAAGCAAACATGCTGCACTTCTTGCTTAGCAGTCTGAGTAAATATATATATATATATATATATATATATACAAAGCCTATAGGCCAATTAAATTATAAGCCAAATAAAAGGATGCTGAGTCAGGAAGAGACTTCAGATACACAACATCTGAATTGGACAATGGACGAAAAAGCGCGAAGCAGAGGTAACCGAAATGAGAGAAACAGGAGGTGATATTAAGGAAATGGATGTTGCCTCAATTTCACATAAAAATGAAAAGGAAGATGCCTTCACAATTATCTCTGTTTTGAAGGGGAAAGTCAAGTGTGCTCTGTGGGTAGCGGAGGAATCTAAGAAAAAATTACTAGCGGCTAACCAGGAAGCAGAACGCAAGTAATAAAAAATATACATAAAGATTGATTGGCAGTTTAGCCCTTATATCTGAAATAGACCAAAACCTTATCAATATATTAAAGGAAATATATGTAACTGATGTCTAAAAATTCGTCATTATGGTATTCCTTCCTAAGTCTCTCTTATTGGCTTAAATTGAAGCATCAGTTGAAGGAGAGACCAATGACCTCACCACTGATTTTTAAAGATACTAACCATTTTGAAACTTAGTGTAGGATGCCATAACGTCAGTCATATTCCGCGCACAAAAATTCCAAATCCCCCCTCCATCTCTACCCTTTGCTCGTGCAGGTGGTGGTGCGTTTTCACACCCGTCGGCGTTAATGAGTACAAATGTAATAGTACAAAATGTTTTTTCATCAGTAGACCAATCGTTCTCAATTAATTATTCCAGTTCACGAACTGATAATCCTGTCCTTTTCGATGTAACTCTCACGAAGAGGCACAATTAGAATATAAATCTCAATCAATATATATATATATATACATATATATATATATATATATATATATATATATATATATATATATATATATATATATATATATATATATATGTATATATATATATATATATGTATATATATATATATATATATATATATATATATATATATATATATATACCTATTACGAACTACACACACCGAGAGGTACCGTTATATGAGGACTATACTAAAACGGGGACATATATATAATGTTCCGCCACCGAATGTAAAACTCATTACAAATTACAAATACCATTTTTTAGACAAATTCGGAAAAAATTGTCTTCAAGGGACTGACCTCTTTTATATGTGTTAGTAATACCCTATGCTACGTGGTGTAAGTTTGTATATGAGTACCTCATTGCCTATTTCCCTTACCAGTCTCATATTTAAATATGTGGTCAATCATACTACCCGTCTCTGAGGCTAGATAGAGCTTAGGCTTCCCCGAAACTTCTCGTCGTCCCTATATTTGGCCGAAGGCTGGGTGCTTCTGCTACAGATGACCAGTTTTTAAGATTTTAACATCAGGCTTCCTAACTATTTTGCAAACATGGCTGGCAATAAAAACACATTCTGCTTAAACAAATTCTAGAAACTTTTGATTCCACCACGAGAATGTAGTAGGTTGCTATAATAAGTGATAAACGTAATATGTAGTCAGATTGACATTGTAATCTATAAAAATATAAAATTCAATGGGTACAAATAATCGCTATTGAAATACGTTAATATATGCCAATGTTATGATGATCTGTAAATAGTTTCGGATGTATCTCCACATTCAAATTTATATAAAAAATCTCATATTATTTCCGTTTCTCGATATTTTATAATACATATGTTCATAAGGCGGCGGGAAAAAAATCACACGACCGTTTTCATATGAGTTATTTTGTATGATGAGAAAGTTAACAAACAAACACACCAAAAATATGAAACAAAGTTTTATCTACATAAGTTTGTAAGAAATGTATTTAAACTATACATTGATGAATTTAATACTATTTATTTTTTAGATCACTTCAAGAAGGACAGGACATTTTCGGTGTAGATTTTGATTATGACGATTTTTCCAAGTATGAAGAAGACGAATATGAAGACGATTCGGAAGGAGAAGAATATGATGAAGAAGCAGGAGAAGATGAGCGGGGTAGAGTGAAGAAAAAATCTACTAAAAAGTTGCCGAAGAAAACTATATTTGACTTGTATGAACCAAGCGAGTTAAAAAGAGGACACTTTACAGATCTAGATAATGAAATTCGGAAAACTGACATTCCTGAGCGTATGCAGTTAAGACAAATTCCTGTTGTTCCTGTTCCTGAAGGCTCTCCAGAACTAGATAACGAAGCAGAGTGGATATACAAGCAAGCATTTTGTTTACCCACAGTTTCGCAACATGATAATGATGATAAAAATCGGGAAACCAACAGGAAACCACCAAGTACTGTGGGTAAGATAAAGCAAGCCTTGGAATTCATAAGAAACCAACAATTGGAGGTACCATTTATATCATTTTATCGCAAGGAGTACGTCAAGCCTGAGTTGTCCACAGATGACTTGTGGAAAGTGTATTATTTTGATGAGCGTTGGTGTCAATTGTTAAATAGGAAAAATAAATTATTAATCTTATTTGAAAAGATGCGGAATTACCAAATTAATGAAATAATGAAAAAAACCGATTCAGATTTACCGGAGGACATTCGAGTTCTTAAAGATGACGACTTTGAACGTCTTCGAGATGTACAAACTATGGAAGAGTTAAAAGACGTTCATTTACATTTCCTTTTGTACTATTCCCATGAAATACCCAAAATGCAGGAAGAGGAAAGAAAAAAGGAAAGAGAACTAAAAAAACAACGAAGAGTTGGAAAAAGGCGAGAAAACAATGAAGACGCACAAGAAACTGATCATATATCCGATGAAGAGGATAATGAAGAATTAGATATGCAAGAACCAGAACATTTAAAGCAGGCTAAGGACTCGGGACCGTATTCTATGTGTCGCAGAGCTGGGATATGTGGCTTTGCCAAACATTTCGGACTGCAACCGGAACAGTTTGCTGAAAACATTCGAGATAGTTATCAGCGTCATGAAGTTGACCAAGAAGTAATCAGCCCGTCAGATCTAGCAAAACAATACTTATGTCCAAAATTTATGACCATAGATGAAGTTATCCATGCAGCTAAATTTGTTGTTGCAAGACAATTGTCAAAGGAACCTTTGCTTCGAAAAACAATTCGCGAAGTTTATTTTGAGCGGGCAAAAATTAATGTCCGGCCTACAAAGCAAGGAATGAAAGAGATAGATGAAAATCATCCGTGCTATCCTATGAAATACTTAAAAAATAAACCAATTCGAGATTTGATTGGGGAACAGTTTCTTAGACTTTTTATGGCGGAGGAAGACAATCTTTTAATTCTAAACATTGCTGATGAAATTGAAGGTAACACTTCAGGATCTTATATAGACGAAGCAAAACAACTTTATCAACGTGACGAATTTTCTAAAACTGTTCAAGAATGGAATGCACTTCGCGGTGAATGCGTTGAGTTAGCTCTTAAGAAAATGGTGATTCCTGACTTAAAAAAGGAATTGAAGCGAATCGTTCTTTCCGAGGCAAAAGATTTTGTACTCAGAACTTGCTGTAAAAAATTGTCGAACTGGTTAAAAGTTGCTCCTTTCAGACCCGATTTTACAGATGAGTATACGTTCGATGATTGGGGGTCGGCAAAGGGTATTCGCTCTCTAGGCCTTGCATATGTTCCCGATTACTCACAGGCTGCTTTTTGCGCAATTACAACACCAGAAGGTGATGTAAGTGATTATTTACGATTGCCACATATTTTAAAAAGGAAATCGTCTTATAGATCTGAAGAGAAGGAATTAAAATTATCTGATTTAAATAATTTAAAAGAGTTTATTAGAACTAAAAGGCCACATGTGATAGCGATTGGAGGAGAATCAAGAGAAGCGCAAATGATTCAATCTGATGTTCAAGAAATAATTAAGGAACTAATGGATGAGGATCAATTTCCAAATATTTCTGTAGAAATAATTGATAATGAACTAGCAAAAATATACGCGAACTCGCAAAAGGGAGCATCTGATTTTAAGGAGTATCCAACATTACTTAAGCAGGCCGTTTCACTAGCTCGCAAAATACAGGATCCTCTCTTAGAGTATTCCCAACTCTGTGGTCCCGATGAAGAAATACTCTGCTTGCGTTATCACTCATTGCAAGATCAGTTGTCAAAAGAGGAACTCCTGGAGCACCTTTATATAGAATTCATAAATCAAACTAATGAGGTAGGTGTGGACATAAATATGGCTGTACAAAATTCGTACACATTAAATATGGTACAATTCATATGTGGACTTGGTCCAAGAAAAGGGCTAGCCTTAATAAAAATTCTTAAACAGACAAATCAAAGATTGGAAAACAGAACTCAGTTAGTGACATTATGTCACCTAGGTCCCAAAGTATTTATAAACTGTTCTGGATTTATAAAAATTGATACAAGCTCGCTTGGTGATAGTACAGAAGCATATGTGGAGGTTCTTGATGGATCTCGAGTACATCCGGAAACATATGAATGGGCTCGAAAAATGGCAATTGATGCAATGGAATATGACGACGAAGAAACCAATCCCGCCGGCGCGTTAGAAGAAATTTTAGAAAGCCCCGAAAGACTAAAAGATCTTGATCTTGATGCATTTGCTGTAGAGCTCGAACGACAAGGTTTCGGAAACAAGAGCATAACACTATATGATATCAGATCTGAGTTGAATTCATTGTACAAAGACTTCAGAATTCCATATCGCTCAGCAAATTCTGAAGAACTGTTCGATATGTTAACTAAAGAAACACCTGAATCGTTTTATGTTGGAAAAATGGTGTTAGCCACGGTTGCAGGGATTTCTCATCGTAAGCCACAAGGAGAACAATTAGACCAAGCAAATCCGGTTCGAAATGATGAGACCGGTAATTGGCAATGTCCTTTTTGTTTAAAAGACGATTTTCCAGAATTATCGGAAGTTTGGAATCATTTCGATGCTGGTGCTTGTCCTGGCCAAGCTACCGGTGTCAAACTTCGTCTCGACAATGGTCTGTCGGGTTTTATACACATTAAAAATTTATCCGATAAACACGTTAAAAATCCTGAAGAAAGAGTTCAGTCCGGTCAAGCAATACATGTAAGAATTATCAAAATAGATGTCGATCGTTTTTCAGTTGATTGTTCATCAAAGAGTTCTGATCTAATGGACAAAAATCACGAATGGCGACCAAGGCGAGATCCATTTTATGATTATGAGCAAGAAGAAGTAGACAACTCTAAAGAAAAAGATCAGAAACAAGTTAGAACAAAACAACAATATGTAAAGCGGGTAATTATACATCCTTCTTTTCATAACAAATCTTATGCCGAAGTTGTAAAAATAATGGAAAATATGGATCAGGGCGAAGTAATTGTTCGACCATCGAGTAAAGGTTCAGATCACTTAACTGTAACGTGGAAAGTAACAAATGATATTTATCAGCACATAGATGTTCGCGAGGAAGGCAAAGAAAACGCCTTCAGTTTAGGCCAAAGTCTATGGATTGGAAACGAAGAGTTTGAAGATTTGGATGAAATTATAGCAAGACATGTTAATCCCATGGCAGCTTGTGCTCGAGAACTACTCACTTATAAGTACTATCGTGATACAGGAGGCGGACTTAAAGACAAGATGGAAGAGTTATTGAAAGAAGAAAAAACAAAAGACCCCAGAAAAATACACTATTTTATTTCAGCATCCACAAATTATCCTGGAAAATTTTTGCTATCATACTTACCCAAAAACAAAAGCCGACATGAATACATAACTGTAATTCCAGAAGGGTTTCGTTTTAGAGGGCAAATTTTTGATTCACTAAATGGCCTACTTAAATGGTTTAAAGATCATTATTCTGACCCTATTGTGACAAACACTCCAGTGTCCACTTCCCAGCTTAACTCTTTATCAAGAATGAGCAACGCTGGGTATGATACGCCCAGAGTAACTGATTCAAGAACTTCGCAACAAATGTCTCAAAATGTTTCCATGCATACACCACATTTTTCAAGCACACCGGGTTATCATGGTGGATATGTTAACACACCATACACTCCAAGTGGCCAAACTCCATTTATGACTCCTTATACCACTCCCCACTCATCTCAAACTCCTCGATACGGCAGCAATACACCTAGCCCAGGCTCTTCGACTTCACATTTAACCTATGGCAACCAATCACACAATGATCGAAATTCAAAAGACGCTAGGTATGGAAATCTACAACGATTTGACAACAAAAATCACAGAACACAGCGTACGAATGAGAGCTTAGAATGGCAAATAGCTTCAGATTCATGGGCGAGGCGTAAACGAGTGAATCCTGTGATACCACAGAGTAGAGCAGAATCTATCAGACCCGCGAATTTTTGTATGCCGCCACCAAGCATTGATTACTCTCACCCAACGCCTCAGTACGTAGAAGATAATCGAGTCAGGCCTCCCCTAGACTATCAAAGAAGTCCTCGGTCTATTCGAAGTACTCCGCGTACGAATACCTCACCACATTCTATGAATTTAGGCGATTCAACTCCTTTATATGATGAAAACTAACTTGTATCAAATAAAGAAATATACATTAAAAACGTGTACTACTTCTATTTATTTGTATTACAGAATATCCCACTTAATAAAGCCAAAAAAGGTTAAAACGGGGTTTGGCAAACATTGCTATAAATAGAATTATGAAAACAAGCAATAACGGACAATAAATAAATGCGCAACAACAGTTTTGCTAACCCCTCTCAGCTAGGACTAAAAAGTGTTTTATAAATGTTTATAAAACCATATGTAGCACCACAGGTCTGGAGGATAACTTTAATAAAAGCAGAAATATATTTAAAAAAATGTAATATGTGAACAAAAAGATAAAATGATTTTGAAGACTTATTGTATTATTATCGATACATCTTAAAACCATGACAGTGTGGCTAAGACCATGACTCACATAAATATTCATAAAAACAATCTAAAAATAGGAACAGCCCGAAAGGAAAGATGTATTCTATATAATGGATTATATTAAATGAATGAAAAATGCCGATATCCTCGGCTTAGCGGTATGCAATCATCAGTCGCATTTTACTTATTAAAAACATTTTGTGATTGGTTAGATTTATTTATTTGCACCAGTGCTGCCAAAAACATAACAAGAAAAATCTTCACTTTTCAAAACCAAAAACCTTCATTTGAATTTTAAAAATCGGCAATGCTGCGGTATATGCAATTTTGAAATTAGCCTTAGAGTGTAACTACTATTAAATATTGGCATCCATGGCTGAAGTTGCACATGACCTTGTAACAATCTAGTTGAGCGGACATGGTATTGAGGTCTTAGACTGCGGCTTATCCCGCCGGAATGTCTAATTTCGATATATAGCACCTTTGGCATATCAATTTAAAAAATACAAATACAATTTCCACTAAGTAACGTTAAGATGTTAACCTCGATTGTTTTTTTTTTTTCACTTCCCATATGACTTTTACAGTCATCCATGGTATTTTCTGAGCCATCAGACTTGTGTGACCCCAAAAGTGACTTACCAATGACTAACAAATATTCAACTCATCTTGCTAAACTTCAAAATATATTGTTTTTTTAAGAACTATTTAGTTTTTAAATGTATTTAGTGGATATGTTTTATTTTGCTTACATATATTATTTAGAAGTCCATACATTGGTTGTAATTTTGTGTGTAATAATATTTTGTCTTTTTCAAAATTTGTAATTCATATACACGTGGGTCTTATGTAATGTATTTGGCTTAGATCTGGGCCTTATTTCATTTATCTGTTAATTCTTCTGTTTTTTTTTTTTTTTTTTTTTTTTTTTTTAATTATCGATTTTTGGGTTTTTGTTTGTCTACCCTAACTTTTGAAAGCAATATTCATATTTAAATGCTTTAGCTCATGCTTTACGTTTTAATTAAATTTCCAAATGCTCCAATTTCATATTAAACTAACCACGAGTAAAGTACATTATTATTACATGATGATGGAGCTTCTGACATATCAGTTTTAATTATGGCAACTAGATCATGGTAGATGGTGCTTACTGATTTATTTTTGGTTGTTGTACGTTTGTCGTTTGTATTCTCGATTGATAGCAGTAGCCATAGCACAATAAAATCAAGGTAGGGCTATGATACCATACGATTTTAATTTTTTTCTTGGCTTAATATGTCAACTTTATTTGTTAATGTGTGTGTATTCTTTGTTCAGAAAATATTCAAATTCGAGTGTTTTCAAAATGCTTATTGCAACGTATGCATCTACAGTTTTTGTAGCGAATTAAAGCTTTAGATCTATATATATATATATATATATATATATATATATATATATATATATATATATATATATATATATATATATATATATATATATATATATACATATATATATATATATATATATATATATATATATATATACAGGGTGAGATGAAAAAAACTACAACCAACTTCAAACTGCTGTCATTTTTAAGCCACTCGTCCGACAGCTTTTATTCCAGTGACAGCTCATTATATAGTTTACAAGCGTACAATTTTGGTGAGAATTTTCCAGAAAAAAAGTAATTCATAATGGAATTCAAGCCACAAGTGGCTATCGTTAGAACACTCCACCATTTAAATGTGAATAAATCTTTTGTGTTTCGTACCATCGCTTGTCACTGCGGTAGAAAACAGCAACATCAGCAGAAATAGTTCGAAAAGTAAAGAAGCAACTTGATCGAAACCCGCATCGCAGTGGCCGATAAATGGCTCGTGAGCTGAACATATAGCAATATTCCGTTCGGCAAATATTAAAAAATGAGCTCGGGGTAAAGCCAATGAAATTCCAAAAAGTGCAAGAACTTACACCGCAACCGAAAGAAAATAGATGTGAAGTCGTTTTACAGCATTATCTGTCCGTAAGAAATTGTGACGACGTTGTATTTTTTAGTCGACGTTGATATTTTAACAAATTTTGTATTTGACATTTGACCATGAAAATAACAACAGCAAAACAATTTGGAAATATTGAAGTCATTCAATCATATAGGTTATACCTATATCGCTTATGAAAATACCTATCCACATTATGGGTTCACATGAAGGCCCATCATAATATATTGGGTAAGTGGATCCGGTCTTGGACCCGGATTATCGGGTCAAAAATTAGGGTTACAGGTCCGTCCCCAAAAAATGGTATCCCGGAATGAGGTTAAAAATACATACCACTGGAAAAAAAATTACAAAAAAAATGAAGAGTTTTTACTACACTGGAGTTAAGCCGGCTAATTTAATTTTAGACCTAAGAGCACACTCGATGCAATTCACAGTTCCCTAGTAGAACATAGTATACCACCACTCCTAATTGATTGGATTGATGTCATGCTCAGCAGCAGAATCATCAACTCAAGCATCGGGGAGTGTTCTGTCAGGAAATCTGTTACTAGGTGCACCCCGCAATGAGGGGTTCTATCACCACTACTCTGGCTTTTGGTGATAAACAAAATTCTAATCGAACTGGAAGAAGGTAGGACAAGGTCGTGGCTTACGCCGATGATGTTGTCTTGCTGATTGCTGGGAAATTTCCGCAGACTGTTACAGATCTTATGCAGGGAGCAGCTCTAGTTAAACTTTCGAGATGAGCACGCTGCAATGGACTTGGCGTGAATCCATCAAAAACTGAGCTGGTACTTTTCACAAGGAAGCGGAAAATACCGGTTTTTCGCTGCCTATCCTTGATGATGTTCTGCTAAGCTTTTCCTCGGAAGCTAAATACCTCGGTACCATCCTAGACCAGAAGCTGGGAAGAGGAACATCGAAGAGCGAGCGAAGAGGGCTTAATTGCAAAAACTCCATAGGAAAAAGCTGGGGTCTCAAGCCACACATAATCAAATGGTTATATGAGTCTGTCCTCCGACCAATTCTAACCTACGGGGGGATTTTCTGGTGGCATTCCCTAGGGAAAACCACCTTCAGGAAATGCGTTGATAAAGTCCAAAGAGTTGCATCGCTACTAATTACAGAAGCACACACTCCAATCCGCACTATATACCCTACTCAATTTAAAACCGTTAGGTTTACTCGTAGAGGAACAAGCTGCTAGGTGTGCCCTGCGGCTCAATGAGCAGGGTCAATGGCGGGGTCAACCATTCGGACACTCCTCTATTATCAAGTATGTGGATAGTATAGTAAATCAGGCTATAACTAGTGACTATATATCACCTAGGCACAGCTTTGAACCACTTGATATTCACATACCTAACAGAGACATTTGGACTCGTGATACTCCACCTTTTAACGGTATAGCTATTTATACTGATGGATTAAAGATGGAAAGTGGAGCGGGGGCCGGAGTCTACTGTGATACTCCACCTTTTAACGATATAGCTATTTATACTGATGGATTAAAGATGGAAAGTGGAACGGGGGCCGGAGTCTGCTGTGAAAGTCTAAATATCCGACGATACTTCAAATTAAACAACGACTCTAGTGTTTTTCAGGCAGAAATTTTTGCTGTCAGGAAGGCCATAGAGTTGCTGGCAAATAGAGTCAATGAACTGGACGGACCGGTGACTATATATGTCGATAGTCAAGCGGCCCTGAAGGCTTGAACAATCAAATCTAAGGCGGTTCTGGATTGCAGGAATGCTCTGGAAAAGACTAAATCGTTTATTCAACTCTGTTGGGTCCCTGGACATTGTAACATACCTGGAAATGAATCTGCTGACGAATACTGTCGGATTTATCTTCCCTCTCCGACACTGAGCCAGCCAAACGACTAAAGCGACTAAAGACGATGTGTTAACACGCCGTAGACACAAATCTCTTAAACTCTCCATTCTCTATACAATTTCGTACTTACTTATTTACTTCTTCACTCATAGCTATTTTATTTCTTCTCCTATCTTTAGTCTACTTTTATCTCTTCCTAATCAGGATGAACACAATGGACCAAAAGGTCTCCGAGTGAAGTGGTTGTATTTTGTATCAGCGCCTACTTGGCAACTTTGGCGAAATTCTTTTAGCACATGCTGAAAACAGTCCTTGTTAAATCTGAAGTAATTTGAAAATCTAAAAGAACACACTGAGTACATATTTTAATTAAATTAATTGAAATATATACTTGGAGCAGACAATGCAAATATGTTTGTTTGCTGTCTTAGCACTCGCCGCTGCACTACTAATACATTCCCCTCTTCATCCTCACTTGAACTTAAGATATGTAACGCCAAGCCTTTCCGTAATACCATTTTTGAATCGAAGCGACGCACAGTGGTCGATTTGAAACATTTAGGCGGCCAAAAATATGTTTGGACATTAATGGCTTTAAAATATATTGTTCTAAAAAAAATTATGTATTAATTTAACAAAGTAAATAAGAAAAACACATTTTCTATAACAAAAGCACGTTTTATTTTCATAAATTATAAATAAATAAAAATAGATTAAATTGTCTTATTCAAAGATGATTCTATGTCGACTTCTTCGTGCTCAATGCATGATTGTGTGTGGAGCTCGGCAGGTTCTAATAGTTCTATAACTTCACTGGAAAACTTCTTGTGTGAAGTTTTCTTTAACGATCTTTCACTACTTATG